TATGTCCAGCTGATTTACGTCCAGTTGATTTATGTCCAGCTGATTTATGTCCGGCTGATTTATGTCCAGCTGATTTATGTCCAGCTGATTTATGTCCAGCTGATTTATGTCCGGCTGATTTATGTTCAGCTAATTTATGTTCAGCTGATTTATGTCCAGCAGATGTATGTCATGCTTTTTGTCCAGCTGATTTGTTTTTTGCTGATTTATGTCCGCTGATTTATGTCCAGCTGATTTATGTCCAGCTAATTTATGTCCAACTGATTTAAGTTCGGCTGATTTATGTCCAGCTGATTTATGTCCAGCTGATTTATGTCCAGCTGATTTATGTCCAGCTGATGTATGTCCAGCTGATTTATGTCCAGCTGATTTACGTCCGGCTGATTGATGTCCAGTTAACTTATATCCAGCTGATTTATGTCCGGCTGATTTATATCCAGCTGATTTATGTCCAGCTGATTTATGTCCGGCTGATTTATGTCCAGCTGATTTATGTCCAGCTGATTTATGTCCAGCTGATGTATGTCCAGCTGATTTATGTCCAGCTGATTTATGTCCAGCTGATGTATGTCCAGCTGATGTATGTCCAGCTGACCTATTTCCGGCTGAGAATGTCCGGCTGATTTACGTCCGGGTGATTTATGCCCAGCTGATTTATGTCCGGCTGATTTATGTCCAGCTGATTTATGTGCAGCTGATTTAAGTCCGGCTGACACATGTCCAGCTGATTTAAGTCCGGCTGACACATGTCCAGCTGATTTGTGTCGGGGTGATTCATTTTCAGCTAATTTATGTCCAGCTGATGTATGTCAAGCTTTATGTCCAGCTGATTTATGGCCAGCTAATTTATGTCCAGCTGATTTATGTACTGCTGATCGATGTTCGGCTGATTTATGTCCATCTGATTTATGTCCGGCTGATTTATGTCCAGGTGATTGATGTCCAGGTGATTTATGTCCAGCTAAATTGATGTGCAGCTGATTTATGTCCGGCTGATTTATGTCCGGCTGATTTATGTCCAGCTGATGTATGTCCAGCTGATTTATGTCCAGCTGATTTATGTCCGGCCGATTTATGTCCTGCTGATCGATGTCCAGCTGATTTATGTTCAGCTAATTTATGTCCAGCTTATTTATGTGTGGATGATTTATGTCTAGCTGGTGTATGTCCAGCTGATTTATGTCCGGCTGATTAACGTCCAACTGATTTATGTCCGGCTGAATAATGTCCTGCATTGTTCTGACGTTGATTATTGTATAATTTATCAGTGACATACTTGCGCATCTCGTCCAGGATGACAGATAATTGATGTACAATACAATGGGGATTAGCATCTTATAAATAACGGCAATTAAGTGTTTCAGTGCATATAGATGTCATGGCTCTAGGGTAATTATTTAGCCTTTGGAATTCAATGTTCATACAGAATTGTTGTCGTAAATAAATCGCTATGACATTTGTAGGACAGTCACCTCTTGATGCTTTAATTATAATTAATCATCATGTATTTATTCCCAATTTTCTCTCACAATAATGGCTATTTACATCCAGTATTTTAATCAGTAAAGAATGAGCAATTTACAAACTATTAAACTATACATTTGACGTTAAACAGACAGGCAGGCGAAACATTGATTTATCATACCAACATCAATTTATTCTCAAAATGTCCCTGTGCATTGTGCCTATGCCATAAAACACACACCTAAATAAATAATTCACTTCGTAGTCATGGAGAGGCAAGATTCTCCACATGACCCTGATACAGGCAGGTATGGAATGTTAATGTTACAAGTTTCTCTTACATTTGAGTTTATGGATGTTCATGACAACATTCTATTTGTGTCATCTTTGATATATAATAACGTTTGTTATATGTTCTGTAGTCAGCCCTTATGTGACCCTTCAAATAAAATGTAAATCATTATTAACCGCCTCCGCAGTCTAGAGGTAGAGCATCCGCCCGGCTCCGAGTCAGAATAATGTGTCTGAGTGGTATATTCATGTTAAACTGCGGCATCTCAGTGAGCACTATGCATCAGCATCAGTCCCGAATAGTACAAGCAGCCACACACACACGTGCATGCACGTCGCTATATAAGTGCAATAATCTTGGACGCGATGTTAAACCCAATTTCACCTCACCTCACCTCACCACCTTTCGGATCAGATATAAATGATTAATACCAAGAACAACGTATTAACTTCTGGAAAAGAACAATGGAAAGCTTACCAGGGCAAACATATGAATTGCGAATACTGTACAGTGATATCGTAAGATAACAATTATTGCACAATTAGTAAACTCCTAGTCACCATTAGAACGAACATACAGTAAACTACAGTTATAATGAACTTATAGGGACCACTAATTTTAGTTCGTTTTAACTGAAGATCGTTATGAGGATATATATACCATAGATACAGCAAACAGACGGATGTTGTTTTTTCTCCTTGTTCTTTTATTATTCCATTTCATGTATATTGTTACAAGTGTATGTATTATATATATGACAGTATTAACACAAGTTATAATTTTCATAGGTGAGGAGAGGCAGATTGTGTAGGATATGTCGTTATTAAGGTTCTTCTATAACGGACGGATGTTCATATTAAGAACATTTTATTTCCATATGGAATTATTTGGCAGTCTCAATACATTGGTTCCATCCTATCATATAATGGCAGTCTTCAAAAAGAGATTTTCTGATGGCTTCTTTCATGTTGACATAACTCCCTCGTCTCTTCGTCAATACCTCGTCTCTTCATCACTCCCTCCTCTCATCACCACTTCCTCGTCTCTTCATCACTCCTTCATCTCTTCATCACTTCCTCGTCTCTTAATAACTTCCTCGTCACTTCATCACTCCGTCTCTTCATCACTCTCTCGTCTCTTCATCAATCCCTAATGTCTTCATCACTTTCTCGTCTATTCATCACTCCGTCGCTTCATCACTCCCTCGTCTCTTCATCACTCCCTCGTCTCTTCATCACTTCCTCGTCTCTTCATCACTCCCTCGTCTCTTCTTCACTTCCTCGTTTCTTCATCACTCTTCGTCTTTTTATCACTAACTAGTCCGTTTTTTAATGTGAACAGCATACATTAATTGTTTAGCTACCAGGTACTCACGAAAATACTGATTGTAACGGTACAATGCCCAGGCTTGCTGAACACAACGTCTGCACACCGTGCGATGCTGCAAACAGGAATGGCAAAAAACTAAGTTGCCGGACAATTCAAAACACAATATCATCTCTAAACAAGTGATAAACAAGTAAACATCAATATTCTATTGTTGCATCTACGGAATCAATACCAAACTGCCACACCAACAGCTCGGAAAATGCCTTGGTTGAGACCAATCAGTAGCAGAAATGTACGCAACCTGTTGAGGGAGCAAAATATCAGACCGATGTCAAGCAATTCGCCCAGTTTTTCTTTCATGTCTTGTTTGATGTATACAGTATCTGAGGTTCAGAAGACAAGAATGGCGAAGTATGCTGTCCACAGATAAAGCAGGTTTCATCTGGACAGCTCTGATTGTCGTGCTAGGGTCTACAGGCGTCCAGGAGAAAGTCAGTTTGAGGGTAAAAGTGTGATGGTATTGTGAGGCATCAACCTCCATGGGAGAACTCATCATTGTTAATGGCAATTTAAACGCTACCAGGACGATATGGTTCCAAATCATGTTCTCCCCTTTGTGCAGCAGGATAATGCCCGTCCAAAACGTTGAACTTGTTGTTACAGACTTTTAGAGAAAGCATAACATTGCTTTCCTGCCATGGCAGGCTGTTTATCCTGACCTCTTCCTCACAGAACATGTCTGAAATGAGATGGAAGGACACTTGTACTAGTCCAGACCGATGCCGATTTATGGTGTCAGCTCACTGAAATACCAAGCCTCAGTTTAAATAAATACCCCACTCAGACACAGTGTACTGACTCCATGCCGAACGGTCTTTGTTTTAGGCCCTCAATGCCGAGCGCCAGACAAGGTAACAACAAGTACCATCATTTAACTTATTTTGGTATGACGCGGCCGGAGATCAAACCCTGGACCTTCCGCTCACTGGGCGGACGCTCTACCACTAGACCACGGACGCGGTCTATGTATGCTTTTATAAAAAAAAACTATCTTTAAACTAAAGACGATTTGTGTCTGGTACTTCGTAATTGTCTGTTTTAACCACCCTGAATAAAAAAATGACCCCTTCATTACACCGTGTGGTTGGCACGTCACCAGTGAGAGATCTAAATGATTTGATATAGCCCAGTTGCCGATTAGCCCATGTCACCGTTGTAACTCCTCGATCTGCTTGCTTACTTCAACTGCCAAATAAGATTTCCTCAGTTGGGTTCAACAGAAAACATTTTGCACTCCCCGTGAAACATCAACGCGTGTGCTATTATTAAAAAGCTGATCCCCAGAGTTGTACATAGTTTTGCTGCACCACACCGCACAACATCAGTATCACCTGCATTTAAATAAAGCTGCCATGTGATTGAATGTCCAATAATACTTTTCATTCGGTTTATAAGTGGACACCAGTTAATCAATATTTATTGTCATGGTTATTTCTTTCACTGACGAAAATAAGGACGCTTTTTGGTAATTATAAATACCATCGCTTTCTCACCATCATATAATGTCCTGCAACTTCAATCTTGTACCTCTCAAAATGATGTCCAAGATGTGTATCAAGGAAAACTTTGTGTTACAGTACCATCGTTCTGCGACCTCAATAGTGTCTCCGAGATGGGAGACCTGTCAAGGGTGGAAGTCATCTTGTCCCAGGGAGGGCAGGACATAAACTGTAAAGACAAGATTGGTAGGACACCGGTGATGTGAGCAGCTGGCAATGGACATAAAGAGGTGGTTGAGTTACTTCTGAGTAAAGGAGCTAAGGTGTCAATTGTCGATAGATTCGGTAACAACATCCTTCACTCCGCCGGTCGGGGAGGAGATGTAGAGGTTGTGCAGTATGTCCTTTCACATGACATGGTAGATATCAATGGTAGAGGAAGTTGCAGGAGAACACCGGTGATGCTGGCTGCAGAGAAAGGACATATAGAAATTGTTAAGCTACTTGTGGATAAAGGTGGTGACATGTCACTCGTGGATAAAGGACATGACAACATCCTTCACTTGGCCTGTTTATGTGGACAGATAGAGGTTGTGAAGTATGTCCTCTCACAGGACATAGTTGACATCAACAGCAGAGGGCGGAAGAGGAAGACACCTGTTATGCTGGCAGCAACAAACGGACACAAACAAGTGGTAGAGTTACTCGTAAAAAAAGGAGCTGATTTGTCACTAGCATATACTGCTAGTGGTAGCAACATCCTTCACTTGGCCTGTTTTAATGGCCATGTGGATGTGGTGAAGTATTTGCTCTCAAAGGACGCAGTGGACGTTAATAGCAGCGGATGGTAGCAGCGAACACCAGTGATGAGGGCAGCACATAGCGGAAATAAAGAAGTAGTAGAGTTACTCGTAAATAAAGGAGCTGATTTGTCACTCGTGAATAAAAAAGGTAGCAACATCCTTCACTTAGTTTGTCAGTGGGGAGAGTTGGAGGTGGTGAAGTATATCCTCTTACAGAACACAGTGGAAATCAACAGCAGAGGATATAAGAAGCGAACACCGATGATGTGGGCAGCACTAAAGGGACATAAAGAAGTATTGGAGTTACTCGTAAATAATAGAGCTGATGCGTCACTCGTGGATAAAAGCGGTAACAACATCCTTCACTTAGCCTGTCAGAGGGGACGGATGGAGGTGGTGAAGTATATCGTCTCCAAAGTTATTGTGGACGTCAACGCCAAGAACAAGAAACGTGAAACAGCAGCCAACATAGCATCATCACAGGGACGAGGAGACATGAAGGATCTTCTTGTGTCACATGGTGCTTACATGTCCTAGGTGAAATGTTTGTACAGACATTCATATTCTTACCGACATTGACACATTGAATACAATCAGACATTGGCGTGTTTAATGCATGATGCTACAAACATTAATGTTTGGAATGTAAGCATATGGTACAGACATTGGCGTGTTTAATGCATGATGCTACAAACATTAATGTGTGGAATGTAAGCATATGGTACAGACATTGGCGTGTTTAATGCATGATGCTACAAACATTAATGTGTGGAATGTAAGCATTGGGACAGACATTGGCGTGTTGAATGCGTGTACATGTTACAACATTGATGTGCTAGTCATTTCATGTTGTTACAGACATTAACTCGTTGAATGCATTCGTTTAGTTGCAGACATCGATGTGTTGATTACATGCATGTTGTTACAGACATTAACTCGTTGAATGCATTCATTTTGTTGCAGACATCTATGTGTTGATTACATGCATGTTGTTACAGACATTAACTCGTTGAATGTATTCGTTTTGTTGCAGACATCTATGTGTTGATTACATGCATGTTTTTACAGACATTAACTCGTTGAATGTATTCATTTTGTTGCAGACATCGATATGTTGATTACATTCATGATGCTACAGACATTAATGTGTAGAATGTAAGCATTGGGACAGACATTGGCGTGTTGAATGCGTGTACATGTTACAACATTGATGAGCTAATCATTTCATGTTGTTACAGATATTAACTCGTTGAATACATTTGTTTTCTTGCAGACATTGATGTGTTGAATAGTCTCTTCACTTCTCCACGAAACATGTTGGAGAACAAACCGTGTTGTGTCGTACTAATAACAATATGGTCCTCGGAGAGTGTAGGGTAATCGCCAAGCAACACTCCCTCGTCTCTTCGTCACTTCCTCGTCTCTTCATCACTCCCTCGTCTCTTATCACTTCTTCGTCTCTTCATCACTCCCTCCTCTCTTCATCACGCCCTCGTCTCTTCATCACTCCCTCCTCTCTTTATCACTCCCTCGACTCTTCATCACTCCCTCGTCCCTTCATAACTCTCTCGTCTCTTCATCACTTACATGGTGGTATATGGGTTTTTATGCATCAAAGTTAAACCTAACGAAGGACTCATAAACACTATATAGCCCGAGTGACCCTGCTGCAACGAATTTATCTGTACCTATGTGACATAATAAAAGAATTAAAACAAATTCAAAATTGACAGAAAACAGCAGTTTAAGTGACCCTAAGTACCTTTTGCTACATGTCTGTCACGTGACTTCCATTGACGCGGCTTTTTCCTTTGAAACGAGGTATAAGGGATTTTATCTGCCTTTAAGAAATCCACGTGCAGCATTTATTGCTCGTGGTGGGATATAAAAGATTTATTCCTCCGCTGCGAAACTTTCTACCTTCCAAGGCGGGTTACACAGTATGTTATCAAGATCACGTTGACAAATCAGATCTCATCATTCTGACATGGAGGTACATGCATGGTAAACTGGATTATATTCATCGAAAGTATACACATATCCCTAGCTTATTTCTTTTTCTTATTTCTGTACTATTTCAATGACAGCAGAGCAACGAAATTACCATTGTATGCATGAAGTTGAGTAGCATGAGTTAGTATGAATTTACAAATTCTGAGCCTCATATAGAATGACTTGACCTGAAGACATTAAAGTCATTATTCATTTTTGACATAACCCCCAACCACATTCACACACTTTTGTGGAGACCGCCTCCGTGATCTAGTGGTAGAGCGTCCGCCCAGAGAGCGGAAGGTCCGGGGTTCGATCCCCGGCCACGTCATAATGTGTATAATGCATAATGTTTACTGTTGAACCCAACTGAGGAAATCTTACTTGACAGTTGAAGTAAGCAAGATCGAGGAGTTGCAATGGTGACATGGGCTGTATCAAATCATTTAGATCTGTCACTGGGGACGTGCCAACCACACGGTATATGAAGGGGTTATTTTTTAACCAGGGTGGTTAATACAGAGAATTACGCATTACCAGACACAAATCGTCTTTAGTTAAAAGATATATTTTTTTTATAAAAGCATATATAGACCTCCTCCGTGGTCTAGTGGTAGAGCGTCCGCCCAGAGAGCGGAAAGTCCGAGGTTTGATCCCCGGCCGCGTCATACCAAGACGTTAAATGATGGTACTTGTTGTTACCCTGTCTGGTGCTCGGCATTAAGGGGCTAAAACAAGGACTGGTCGGCTCGGAGTCAGTACACTGTGTCTGAGTTGGTTATTCATTGCTATAAACTGCTGCATGGTATCTGACTGCGCTAGCACTATAAATCGGCATCAGTCCACATATACACACACGTGCATGCACGTCGCTATACAAGCGCAATAATCTTGGACGCAACGTTCAACCCCATTTCAGCGCACCTCACTTTTGTCGACGATGATGAAGGGATTGTTCCCCTGGAAAAGAAACTTTTAGAGTTAACGTTGTCACTATGACACTTTGGCGAGTAAACAATAGGTTCACACATTGAGGAGGGGTTAAAAATCCAAGAAAAACGGGACAAGACGATTTTTAAGGTTGATAACTATTTTTGAAATATTGATTGTTTGGAAAATATTGTTAATTTTAGGGCGTGTTTACAATTGATCGATTGATACTTTGTGGATGTCGATGACTTTTACTGCCCAGATTTTACAAGACATAGAATATACATTACAATGCATAATAAGTTAATGTGAACAGACTTGGAAACACACAATATATATCTTCATGTCATACACTTGTCAACACGTGTCAAATATCACATGATATAACACATATGACATATCAAATAGCACATTACACACATAACATCCCTATAACTTTGGAAGTGTATGATATTATATCTCCACCTTGGTTGATATTATTTCCATGCTGACAAAGGTCAAAGATGAACTGGAACTTGTGTAAAGAGCTCATCAACTTTTGGAAATATGTCTACAGAACTTGTTTTTGTCAGGTATGATGAGGTAGATAAGAAATTACCAATTTTTTTTTCTCTACTTAATATTAAGAGGAATATGAAGAAATAATGATGGACATGGTGGAGCTATGTAAAATATGTGCGTGGCAGAAAATACTTCGTGAAGTACACGAGAAGTGTGATTTTCAGTTAAAATAGTATACTTTCAGCTAAAAGAAAGCTGTACGGCAAATGTGTAGAGAAGTCGAAGATATTTCAGAGTGTAACTAGAAGAACTATGCGATGAAAACAATGGAAAAATTGGGAAAAGAATTGGGGACCATGGAGTTGGTCGTGAAGGGTGACTTGGATGATTGTGGTGTATCTGATGAGATTGTTTGGTTGATGGTGGAGCAGCTGATGGGACTGTTGGGCTGATGGTGGTGTAGGTGATGGGACTGTTGGGCTGATAGTGTTGTAGGTGATTGGACTGTTTGGCTGATGGTGGTATCCCGGGTAGCATGCCATCATCGGCCCTGCATCGGCCCAACGTCGGCAAACTGCATCCGGCCGATGAAGTTTTGCTCATCGGATCGACATCAGCCCAACGTCGGCAAACGTCATCGGCCCTGCATCGGCAATGCACCGGCCCAGCATTGGCCCAGCTTTGGCAAACATCGTCGGGCCGATGACGTCGGGCCCAACGTCGTAAATAGTTATCTGGCACGCCATCGGCCAGACATAGGCAACTGTTAAGGAATCAGCATCGGATGGACATCGCGGCCCAACGTCGACAATAATTATCGGCACAGCTTCGGGTTGACATTGGCCTGACAGTATAATTACGGTTAAGTGAGTGAGTGAGTGAGTTAAAGTTTAACGTCACGTCGGCAAATTTCAGCCATAGCATTAGTCATTCAGACTTCATCACCCTTTCTCTTCTTTGCTCATTTACAATGGCAGTTGGGATGTTCAGTATTTTTACCTTTTATAATATTTGATGGCAGTTCTTGATTTTGTTCAAAATAAATACATAAAGTATAAAACAAATGGCTTACACTTTGCAATAATCATTTACAATTATCGGTTTCTCCAAAAATAGTCAAAAACATCCAAACTTAAATTGATAATGCTTCGTTAGTTTTTTCATCTGCCATTGTCTTAAATAGGCTGATGTCATCTAAAGTAGTTGCCTGCAGAAGTCATTACTGACAACATCTCATCTTAATATTTCATGTAAATGATGCCACGATGGAACATTTCCAAGTGTAGTGTTAGGGTACCTAAACATTTCTAAAAGCTGCAGCTTGCTCTGATGTTAAAGTTACAAAGATAAAAGGTAAAACTAAAAAATACTGCATTTTTAAAAAGATACTAATTTGTTATCATAGTTAATACTTTGAAAACCAACTGTAAGTAATATGAATACTTCTAGCTGTACAAAACAATCGAAATGCTTACACTAGTTACAGTACTATTTTTTATGTACCCTAATACATGTGTAGTTAATACTTACAATTAAACACAAAGAGCAAAATAGAATAATAAACTTTATTATTAATTCATTATTATTTTTTAAAAAACCAGTGTTAAAATATTACAACCTGCAAGATGTAACAAGGCGGATGTGAAACATATTCTCAAAACCAGTTTTAAAACACAGTCTAAACATATACCCCTCATATTGGCCTGCAAAATTTCATTTATGTGGCTTCAAATACGTTTGCGAGACAAACAATCTTTTGGAGTTTGTACCTTAGATGAGCAGGGAAAGTTTCATTTATTAACTTCAGTTGTGTCCAAGAGAACCTGGCAGTATATGTACCAGGTTCGAAAACAAGGGTCATAACCCTGTGAAAAATGTGTTGTCAACACCAAATTTTGGGATTTCTTTGTTCCGTTGCAATTCAGCACTTTTGTTTGCAGATTCTCTATCTGAACCTCTGTTTTTCAGTACGCGTTTTCCTTGTGCCATTTCTGAGCCTTGCTCCTTGAACTCGAAGCCATTCTTTTACACGGGTCACCATATACTTGTCAGTGGCTTGTAAGAGCCCAGCTGCAGGCTTCCTCCTCAGCTTCTGTTTAATGATAGCAAAAACT